TCCCGCGATCGGGCTGTGGGAGAGTCTGGGCTCCAGGCCAGCTTTGAGTGGCTGGTGAGACCGAGGTTGGGGTTAGATTTGCCTCACTGCCCTCCCTTTCCTTTCCTTTCCTTTCCTTTCCTAGCCACGCCGCTACCTAGCCTCTCCCCACCGCCGTCTCTTCCGAAGTCCGGAAACCTCCTGGGGTGGGGATTGGACTTAGGGCGGCGAGGTCCCAGGGCCGGCCCCGCCCCCAGCTGGTGGCGACCCAGGCGGTGTCCCTGGTCCTCAGCCAGTTGGCCGGCTCTTGCCACTCTCCCCGCAGCCCCGTTTCCATGTTCCTATTAATCTCCGTCCCCGGGGTTAGGGAGAGCTGACTGCTGAGGCCTGGCGTCTTACTGACTTCCTATTCCCTATTACAATTTTCACTCTGCCCCCCCCCTCCCCCCATCCCCGGGAGGGTCGGGAGCTTTCTGCAGACCCCCCTCCCCCATTCCTAGGGTGTCTTCCTGCAGGAGAGGACACGGGATCCAGGAGTTAGGAAGAACAGCATTGAAGGGATTCTGAGGCGATGGAAACGGAGGCCTCCAGTGTTAATTGTGGCTACTTTTCCCTTGGCTGTTGTGGGAGGAAGGATTGTGTGTCCTGGAGCAAGGGGCTGGGCCAAGCGCTGGTTCTCTCCAGCACAGCCACAGCCACCGCCACAGCCACCGCCACAGCCACTGCCACAGCCACAGCCGCCGCTGCCCACCAAGACAGGTCTGGCTGGTTAGCCTAATGCTTGCTGTGGGAGCGAAGCCAATCAGGGCTCCATGTATGTGTGGCAGCAGTGTCTTCCTCTGCATGGAGTAACTCTGTCTCCTAAGCCTCCACAGGCTGGCAGGGGTCATGGGGAATGGGGCAGGGGGAAATCAAGGAAGAACCAGCCCTGGCCTCTCTGACAGACATTGGGAGAGAAAGTCAGGGGCCTAGTAGCCCTGCTGAAAGCAGGTACAGGCTATCCTCTGTATGCTTGTAAGTATGAGTGTTGCGTGTGCATGTGATAGTATAGATGCAGGGTGTGTCTGTGTCTATATCTTTGTCTGGGTCTCCTATACTGTTTATTTATGAATGGTCAGGATGTCTGGAACTAAATTTAGAAATGAAGGGTGAGACTAAGGGACAAAGAATAGGGCCCTAGAGTTCCCAAAGGGAGCAGGGATATAGAAATAGATTTGAAGGCAGATTCCAGGCTGCTGAGGAGGAGAAGGAATCCTACATAATAAAAGCCGAATATGTTAAGTGTCCGGTCGTCTGGTCAGCTGTTCAACCAATCAGAGCATAATATGCTAATGATATGCTAAGGCAGCCCAACCGCTCGCTATGATGTGCACTGACCACTATGGGGC